ATTAGAATGGATTATTTTGATATTACAAGATATCACAACTTCCCATGCATTCTAAACCCTATTTTTTTATCACAACTTCCCACGGTTAATTTATTTATTTTGTATTGATATTTTTTTATTTTTAATTGCTATAATTTTAGAAACAAATATTACAATTTTTAATAAAATATTTACGATTTATTTTTTTAAAGTACGACTAATTAATATTTTTTTATACAATATTAAAAACAAATATTACAATTTTTTAATCAAATATTGGAGTACCATTTAATTCGATACTTTACCAATATATCTTTTGAATGGACACATTATTATCATGATCAATAAAATTTGAATAAATTTGAATTCTCTTTTAATATTATAGGTTTGATACTGTTTCATATTATAGGAATATTATATACATTAGAATATATAAAGATATGAAAAAAATTAAATCAAAACTTTACAAATATATCTTTTGAATGGAGGTATTAATATTATTTATTTTTATTATATATAGAAAATATTTTGAATGGTCACATTAATACATTTTATTTTTATGCATGATTTGATTTCAAAAATTTATGATCAATAAATTTTGAATGGAATTATAATTTAACCAATAAAATTTTCTACCGACTTCTAAATATATTTGTGTATATTTTTTGAAAGGTTACATTTATATTCTTGAAAAAAATAACGTAGTTTAAAGGATGTATTGTTAACTATAAATATATTGTTAATAAAATTAACAAAAAAAGTATATTATAAATATATAAAAGATAAAGTAAATAAGAACTCTAATGTTTATCTTAAATATTTAATTTATCATTCTATAAATGTAAGAATAAATATTATTTTGTAATTATTTAGATCCTTATTTGACCTAAAATAAATTATTTCAATTTCTATAAAAAGGTTAATAAAACAAAACAAAATCAATTGAGATTTGATAATTTTTTTAAGTTTATGAAATAACTAAAATATATCATAATCTTTTCAAATTAACTTTATAATTGTAATCATGATAAAAAAATATTAAATGTACATCATGAAAATTTAATGATAAATGATAATCATGAAAATTTAATGATAAATGATAATCATGAAATTAATTTTATATAATATCCTTAATATTTAATTATTGAAAATTCGCAATAAATTGAAAAATATTTATTACAAATCGAATATAATAAAACATAAGAAATAAATACATAATTTTGAAATGTTATATATGATTCATTGTAATAATAAATGTTAAATTATTATTTAATATTATAATATATTTTCCGATATTCTTAGATTTAATTTATTCTTTTTCCCGTATATAATAATAATATTATATTATTATTTAATATTATAATTTTTGATTGACAATAATAAATTCATTTTAATTAGTTAGACATTAAGATAATAAATTTAATATATATCACTAATACACGATATTTATTTATAAATATAATTAACTAAGAGACACATATTTATCACTGTTGAATAAATAAATTTAAGATGATATGGTAAATATTTATTTTTACAATTATTTTTATAAACTTAAATAACTTACAAATATTTTTATAAACGAACAAAATTTAAATATTGATGTAATTGTTTTTAACATGTATAAGTTAAAATGTTTTTATAAATTGTCACACGGGTTAAAGACACTTATAAACGAGAAAAAGTCTACATATTAATATAATTAATTTTACAAACTAAAAATAAATTATAATAATTTTTATAAACATGAATAAATTATAAATATTTTTATAAATCGGAAAAATTCAAGTATTGATACAATTATATTTATAAAAGAGTATAAGTTTCATATATTTTTATAAATAGACACACACGTTCATTTTTATAAACGAGAATAATTTAAAATTATTTTTATAAATGAGAAATTCAAATTTGATAAATGATTATATATTGTAATTATATTAATATTAACCAACTGAGTACATGAAATAAATTCACGGGTAGAATAAATGTATCTATGACATACCAGATAATTGAAGTTAAAGAATTGAATGTACTATTTTAAATGACAATTAAGTTATATTTTTAAATACAAATTAGAAAATAAATTCATCTAAAATAAATTTCATTTATTAAATAAATATAGAAAATAATATACAATAGTTTTATCTATAAATTTTATTTATTTTTTATGTTCTTTTTAAAAATAATTGTAATTTAACGGGAAATTATTATACATTATAGGTTGTAAAAAAATATGTAAATATGATATAATATAAAAGTTTTAAAGGTATTTGTTTGAGTTAAGAAGGTATTCACAATGTATATTGTAAGTTCTCGATGGTAATGTACTAATTCCTTCTGCTTTACGCACAGATCCGCAGCCACCTTATATGGACTCCAATCCTTCCGCTTCGTTCTCAAAAAAAAATTGTTCTTACTGTTGCTTCAAGTGGGATAGCTTCGTTATTATTGCCGGGTGGAAGAACAGCACACTCAAAGTTCAAAATACCTGTGCCAACGCTTGACAATTCAACTTGCAACATCGACAAAGACACCGAACATTCTCAATTATTTGAAGCAACGGATGTGATAATATGGGATGAGGCACCTATGTCTCACAAGAACTGCTTCAAAGCATTGGATAAAACCCTTAAAGATGTAATGAGCAAAAAGGGTGTTGAGAATACTATTTTTGGTGGAAAAGTTGTTGTATTTGGAGGAGATTTTAGACAGATTCTTCCTGTTGCTCCAAGAGCTGGACGTTCTGATATTGTTCATGCATCAATTAGTTCATCTTATGTATGGGATTATTGCCAGGTTTTAACACTATCAAAAAATATGAGACTTCAAGAGGGAAGAGACAACACAAGTTCTAATGAACTAGCGGAATTTTCAAAATGGATTTTAAATGTGGGTGATGGTAAGATTTGTGAACCCAATGATGGTTTGGTTGATATTGAAATTCCTCAAGAGCTATTAATATCAAATTTTGATGATCCTATAAGAGCAATTGTTGAAAACACATATCCCAATTTGTTGGAAAAATATCAAGATGTTGAATTCTTACAAGGAAAGGCTATTCTTGCTTCAACCATTGAAGTTATGGACAAAATCAATCATTATGTATTAGACTTGATACCAGGTACATGTGTTTTATATTTACTGTATTATTACATTCATAATATATATATATATATATATATATATATATATATATATATATATATATATATATATATATATATATATATATATATATATAAGAACATAGTTTTACTAATTTATTTATGTTTTGCTTTTAAACTTTTTTTTAGGAGAAGAGAAAGAGTATTTGAGTTTTGATTCCATTGATAGAACAGATTCAAGTTATACTGAAGCATATGAAGTTCTAACTCCTGAATTTCTCAGTAAATTAAGAACGTCGGGGCTTCCCAATCATAGGATCAAATTGAAGGTTGGTACACCTATTATGCTAATGAGAAATTTGGACCAAGCCGATGGGTTGTGCAACGGAACAAGATTAATTGTTACAAGATTTGCAAATCATGTCATTGAGGCAAAAATCATGTCTGGAAAGAACATAGGTAACATTTTTTACATTCCACGAATGTCTATGTCACCTTCTGATTCACCTTGGCCATTCAAGTTGATTAGGAGACAATTTCCGATTATTGTCTCCTATGCAATGACAATTAATAAGTCACAAGGTCAATCTCTTGATAGTGTTGGATTGTATTTTCCTACTCCTGTGTTTAGTCATGGTCAATTATATGTTGCAATTTCAAGAGTTAAGAGCAAAAGTGGGCTAAAAATCCTAATTCATGACAAGGAGAATGTACCGTGTTCTACTACTACTAATGTTGTGTACAAGGAAGTCTTTCAAGCACTTTGATAGTTGGTAAACTTTATATCTTATACTTTACGATTCAAATTAAAAATCTATTTTGAATTAAAATATATAGTATGTACATTTTCCATGTATTTCAAGAAGTATATAATTTTTCCTATTTGTTCATGCAGACGTGATTTGTTGATAGGACCGACGCTTGCTACAAATATGGAGTTAAATGCCAACATGGTTTACATGAGACATATACTCAACTGAAAACATGGTAACATACTTAATAATTTAATAATCTATAAATGTAATGTGAATCCAGACGAGACCCGTGCGATAGCACGGGTTTGTTACTAGTGTATGAATAAAAATTTCATCCCACATAAATCTTTCTTCATGTAGAGAACATCGAGGATACACATTGACTATTGAGCTCAAGTTTTTTAAATACTCCATTTCAAACAAACTCTAAATAGAGAAAGAGAGCAAATATATTCCTTTCACATTACACTAAATAGAGAGAATACCTTTACTTTTACTAGTTACAAGGACAAAACTCCACTCATAAAATAGAGTTGAGATCCTCTTCATTTCTCAAAAGAAATGGTTTGAGAAATAGAGAGTGTTATTACTAAAGTTTTAGAATATAATAAATTTATATTATTTAAAAATATGTCATATATTTTGTATACTTTAATATTTATATAATGTAAATATTAGTAATGACACTCTCCATTTATTTGAAGAAATAGAGAAAATCTCAATTTCACTTAATTTCCCTAAAGATAACACAGCGAGGCAAACACAAATTAATGAAGCTTAGTATCTTGGATCACCACAAACTTAGTGAATTTAGAAGAGATAAGATCTTTAACCTCATACGTAATAGAACTCTATAACCCACGAACATTAAAGTTCCTATCAACATCTAAATATGACGCCTATATAACCTAACAACTTTTTGCTAGCGATCCCTCCTTTCTAAGCCTACCAATCTAGCTACTTCTTCCTCCTTTCTCAACTTAAAAGTACAACCAAGTTATCAATCTAACTTCATAAGTTTGAAAGGAATATTATCATCAGTATCAACTAAAGTAATGGAAATCCCATATAAAGAGCAATATAGTAACAATAATTTGTATGCAAAATCAACTATTTATTTAGTTTATTGTACCAAAATAAATAAATAAAATTATCAGCCATTTTATAATTGTTTTAAAACGGCTGTTCCAATATCAAGCAACTGGTGTAAACTGCCAGTTTTCTCATTCAAGGGTGAACCATTTGAGAATTTCTTGTTACAAGAATCAATTTCTTTTCCAATATAACCCATAGAGTAAATGGCAAGCCCATATTTTTTTTTGTTTATAGAATCAACTGCTTGTGGAAGTATGGTTTTCTCTAATGGAATGTATGTCTCAGCACAACTCACATATTTTCTTTGCAATTCAGGATCTTTGATTTCTTTCACAAGACCTTCTATTAGTGACACTTTGTAAAATGTCATTAACCATAATGACGGCTATACCATTTGCATCACTTTTGCCTGCTTGAGGATTGGAATGTATAGTTGAGCTGCATAGGTCGAAATTTGGTGTCTTTTTGCACATGTCATCCACCAAATCATCAAGAACTATATCATTCATTTGAGTAGAGGATATAGTGAGTTGGAGAAATAAACAAGAAAAGAGAAGAGTTTGAAAAAATGACATAAAAGCTGAGGTTTTTTTCATTTTCAATTTGGACTAGGAAACAAGATTGTGTTGTTTAAGTGGAATGATTGAATGACCAATGTTTTTACTTTGGGGTAATAAAGAATTTTTTGGAAAAGAGAATTACTAATTTCACCCTAATAAATGAAAAAATATTCTATGAAAATTCAAAAATTCTATAAAAAGTCTATTGGAATTATCAGACCCTTTATTAGTTTGTTGTTATTTTTCAATCGATTTTTAATGTAAATTTATTAGCCTTTTTCATATATAAATACTCTATATTTTTTTATATTTCTTTTTGGTAGGATATTTTTTCATCATTTTATATATACTATATTAGTGCTCTATATAATTATTTAAATGTTAATGGTCAATATCTTCTTCCATTTCTTTACCTACTTTGAATCATCTTTCATTATTTTTATTGATTACATTTTTATTGATTATTATTTTATTAATTTATGGCATAAATATAAATTTATTTCGTTCATCCTTTAACATATTAATATTATTTATGAGAACTTAAATAAAATGGTAAGTAATTTTTTTGTGAGAATCTCTCCTCAGCTCAAGGAGCTTACTTCCAAGATTTCAGAGAATTCTCTCTTCAGTGAAAGACATGGTACACTTCTCAACTTGGTCAACTCCAACATTGAAGAAGATATGATGAAAGTTCTCTTCCAGTTCTTTGACCCCCTACACCACTGTTTCACATTCCCTGATTACCAACTAATACCTACTTTGGAGGAATTTTCTCAACTCCTGAGGATTCCTATTCTTCATCAACTACCCTACAACGGTACGGAAAAAGAACCAAATTCTGAAGATGTTGCTCAAGCCTTACACTTGCAACCATCTGATATCAAAGGTCATTGGGAAACCAGAAGTGGTGTTAAGGGTTTCTTGGCGAAGTTTCTGTTTGAGAAGGCACAAGACTACTGGAATTCTCTAGATCTACAAGCTTTTGAGGAGATTGTAGCACTTTTCATCTATGGGTTGGTCTTGTTCCCAAACCCTGATAAACTTATAGATGTGAATGCTGTCAAGATTTTCATATCTCGGAATCCTATGCCTACATTGCTTGGGGACATCTTACACTCATTTTACACACGAAGAATGAGGAAAAGAGGTGTTCTCATGTGTTGTACTCCTCTCCTAGCAAGGTGGTTTATTTCTCACCTTCCACAATCAGTTTTGAAGAATGAGTAGGGTTTAAGGTGGTCATAACGGTTGATGACCCTCACATATTCTGATGTTCATTGGTGTTCTCAATCTAGAGAAAATGTCATCATCATTGATCGTTGTGGGGAATTCCCTAATGTCCCACTACTTGGCATTAGGGGAGGCATTACCTAAAACCTCTGTTTAGCACTAAGACAGTTTGGATATGCTAGAAGGGATGGCCCTCATGACATGTTGATTCCTGACTTGGTTTTTGACTTCGACAACAATGCGCAAGGACTTCGACAAAGGTTAATCAGAGCTTGGAGGATGCCCAACAAAGTGGATAGTAAGACACTGGGGCACAAGAATTCCATCCCCCTTGAGCCTTATCTCAAGTGGGTACGAACCCGCGCCCAAAATCTTATGATGCCATACCCTCACATTCTCCCCGTGATCAAAGAGCCTGTTATGGAAGGAGAGGTTCCATACACCCTCCTACATCCTGACATACCGACATCATTGGAAGAATTGCAAAGGAGTTAGATCCAACTCAAAGAAGAATGGAATACTTTTGAAGCCAGCTTCTATGCCAGTGAGAAGAAGGTTTTGGAACTTACCCGCCGACTTCATGAGGAGGAAACTCTCAACACTTACATCGCGCCAAAAAGGATGCGCAATGTCTTTTTACATTAAGAATTTTGTAATATTTTTTCCCATGGGGCACTTATGTACTAACAAATTTCTTCTTAATATGACGTGTGTTCTTTTTGTTTGCAACAAATTTGAATTTTTGAATCCTTGAATGCATTACATGAATAACATACCATTCATCATATGCATAAACATGTCTTCACACCAGGTTTCCTTATCTTTCTGTTGTTTATTTCAGCAAGATGGATTTGGAGCAGACGGTTAAGGATCTGCAAGCACAAAATTCTCAATTCCAGCAACTTCTCATGACCTTAGAAAAGGGTCAAGAGGATCTTAAAGCACTGTTGGAGAAAGATAAAGAGAAAAAGAAGAAAAGACCTGGTGTAGTCATCATGGGAAGAAGGTTTGAAAGCAATGCTAGAAAAGTTCTCGAGTTCCCCTCGACGTCTGATGAAGGGGCTGGTAAAGGAAAAGGAACTACAATGCCTTCTGAATATGAAATTGAAGGAGAAGAAGAGGAAGAGGAAGAAGACGAAGATTACTCCGAACATCAATATCCCCCGGCGGATGTTAAGTTTAAAAATCTTGAGGATCGGTTGGCAGCCATGGAGTTGCAAAGGGTACCTGGTTTAGATTTCGAAGAACTAGGGTTGGTCGCTGGGATCGTCATTCCTCCCAAGTTCAAAGTTCCTACATTCGCTAAGTATGACGGTCTGTCGTGCCCGAAGATGCATCTAAGATCCTACGTCCGAAAGATCCAACCCCACTCATCTGATAAGGATCTTTGGGTCCATTTTTTCCAAGACAGTTTTTCAGGCACACAATTGGACTGGTTCTATCAACTCGAGAGATCAGAGGTTCATAACTGGGAAGACTTAGCTGCTGATTTCTATCGACAATACCAATACAACGCTGATTTAGCACCCACTCGTACTCAACTACAAAGTATGGGTATGGCTTCTAACGAGGGATTTAAGGAGTATGCCCAGAAGTGGCGTGATCTGGATGGAAGGGTGCAGCCACCATTGTCGGATAGAGAGCTGGTGGACATGTTTTTAGGGACCCTATCCGGCCCTTTCTTCAATCATTTAATCGGGAGTTCCTCTGCAGGATTCACCGAATTAATTTTGACCGGTGAAAGGGTCGAGGCTGGCATTAAAAGTGGTAAGATTCAGAAAGATGCCTCCGCATCCACTGCTATTAAGAAGACCTTCCCAGCTAAGAAGGAAGCTTCTGCTGTTTATTCTCAGAAAAGCCAAGGTGGAATGGGACGCCGACCAACGGTAGGGGCTGTAATGATCCAAAACTCTTCAAATGATCAACCTCGCAGCAATCAGCCAAGATCTAATCAGCAAAGGGTAGAAAGGCCACAACGGCAGTTCACCCGAATCAACATGACACCGGCTTAAGTACTCCCTCATATGTGAAAACTAAATCTCACCACTTTGAAAGAAGCGCCGAAGAACCCTAATACCTCTTCTCCATATTACCACTCCAATGTAAAATGTGCTTACCACTCTGACAGTGTAGGGCATGATACCAACAACTGTTGGGCTCTTAAGAACAAAATCCAAGACTTGATCGACGCCAAGGAGGTAGAATTCGATGCGCCCGAAAAGCCAAATGTGATTTTTGCCCCAATGCCCAAGCACGGTCATAATGTTCATGCCGTTATGGAAGACCTTCATGTTACCAATGTTGCTGACCTTTTGACTCCGTTACTAGTGATTAAAGTGAATTTGATGAGATCCGGGATATTCCCAGGCTGTGGAAAGGACTGTTACTTTTGTTTAAACATACGAGATGACTGCCCCCTGTTGAAATCAGGCATCCAACGCCTGATGGATACCCAAGAGATACTCTTTCAAAAGACTCCTGCTGATACCTTCACTCCTGTTACTCCTGCTACCTTTGTTACTTCAACCAATGACATTGCAATAATAACCATCTCCGACAATCTTCCCAAGGCTTGCAAAAGGCCTGTCAAGATTACGCCTGATCCTAAGTTTGTGCCATTGAAAATCACCATGCCAGGGCCTATCCCGTATCAATCTAACAAGACGATACCATGGAACTACGGAGGAGAAATCTTCTATCATGGTATCAAACAGATTGAATCAGTCCAAGAGAATTCTGATGATGAAACCCCTTATATAGGGAACATTGCGGGAACAAGCAAGATAACTCGCGGCGGACAGATCTTCTCTCCAGAGATTGCTCCTCCACGAGAAGTCTTCGGACCCTCGAAAGCTTCTGTGCCTGTTAAGCCATTTGTGCAAAGCCCGATAATTGAAGAAATTGATGTACCTGGAGTTAGACCCTCTGATGCTACTACCGATAAGGGTAAGGGGATGCTAGAAGTGCCTGTCAGGATGAAGGCTCAGACTATGGTAATCCCCGAAACCACCCTGAAAGAGATGGAAGAAATTTTAAAGATAATCAAGAGGAGCGACTACGATGTCGTGGAACAGCTAGGGCAAACCCCTTCCAAAATCTCCATGTTGGCTCTTCTACTCTGCTCTGAGGCCCATGCTAAGGCCTTGATCAAATTTTTAAAGACGGCACACGTGCCTCAAGAAACTTCGACTGACCAGTTTCAAGAGTGCGTGGCCAACCTTACTGTTGATAATGGTCTTGGTTTTTCCGATGTTGATTTAACCCCCAAGGGAAGGAAGAACAATGACGCGCTGCATGTCTTAGTAGAATGCAGGGGAACCACACTTTCCCATGTCCTAGTTGATACCGATTCATCCTTGAATGTACTATCGAAAAAGGCATTGGATAGACTGGACTGTGAAGGTTTGACCCTGAAACCTAGTAACATCGTTGTTAGTGCCTTCGACGGTTCTAAGAGGATGGTTCATTAGGAAGTGGACATTCCTATCAAAGTGGGCACAGAAATTTTCAACTCCACCTTTTATGTGATGGACACCCGTCCTTTATATTCTTGCTTACTGGGAAGGCCGTGGATCCACTATGTCGGGGCAGTTACTTCCTCTTTACACCAAATGCTAAAGTATCCTGTTCAGGGTAAGATTATAATGGTTCACGGTGAGGAAGAGTACATGATAAGTCACCTCAACTCCTTCCGCTATGTGGAGTTGGATGGCGAATTCATAGAAACGCCTTTCCAACATTTTGAGGAAGTTTCTCCTGAAGTCGCAGTTGCAAAGACAATGGTTGATGTGCCTGTTATTTCCAAG